TACTACTACTACTACTACACACTACACCACGTAACCGTACGTACGTACGTACGTACGTACGTACGACGACGACGACGAAGAGAGAGAGAGAGAGAGAGAGAGAGAGAGAGAGAGAGAGAGAGAGAGAGAGAGAGTGAAAACGAATGGGGTAGAGAGAGAAAGAAACCTGTGCGCTTGGGCTTGAAGTAGTGAGACACAGGGCATGGGCCAGTGTGCTTTATGCAACAAGGAAGATGGTGGACGTTCGATGAGAGATCAGGAACTTCTCCAGATAAATGGACGGTAACCATCGCCGCATCCTCGCCACAAAATCCATCCTGGTCGTCCATTTGAGCTTCTCCTTGCCCCGCTCTCAGCACACTGCTTCTCCTTTATATCATCCGGTGGTCGGCTTTTATTCAGGAGGCGGCCATACTTACGTTTAGAAAAAGTTTATATGAGCTCTAAACAATTAAATTAAATTAATACGCATCTAAAAAATTTACTATTAAAGAGAGGGTTTTTTGATACCGAAAAATCCTCATCTCGACGTATGGACATAAAAAAAGCATGGGATTTTAAATCTTAAAAATAGTCTTTAATATATTTCTGAACAGTCAATTTTCAAGATTTTTCAAGTTTTTATAGATATGTTTGATCTACAATATTTTTTTATCTTTAAATTTTATAATTAGATATGAAAATAAAGTTTCAAGTCATCACAAAGATTTCCCGTACCTGTGGGTGGCAATGGACCAAAATCCGACTCGAGACGCGAAGGCTAGACTCCATCCGAGTTCGGGTATGGCTCCAAAAATGGGAGCCGACGGGTGGGGTTTGAGTCCAAATCTTGAATCCGAACGCTAATTGGGTCCGGGTCCAGTAATATTTTTCAGGTCCCAATATAAAAAATATAATTAAATAAATAAATATTTTAATTTTTGGGTGGGGTCCGATCAGATTTGAATCTGGTTGGAACCGAACCCAACCCGGCCCGTTGCCACCCCTACCAATACCGAAAAATATATTTCGATACTATTTAAAGGTGCGCCTTACTTTGATTGTTTGGAGCGTCAGCCCTATACAAACCACTTCCTTTCATTTTCTAGAAAATTTGAGACTACTCTCAACTCACAATAGGGTCTTGGGTGATTAGCTTTAGACTTTTAAGGGTACATGGTTACAAAGAACATTAGTTTTTAGGGCACTTAGAAAGAAGATTAGTCTTAGGTATCTCTCTCGAGTAGACAATAAATTTTTGGATAATTTTTATATAAAAAATGAATGCTCCTCTATGGTGTAAGAACGCTATCAATGAGTATTTTAGGACTAAATTTCAAAAATTTGATATCCCTGCACTCAAGCTTCAAAACTGAATTCGTATGCATTTTATGTGCCGAATGGCATAAAAAAATATGAATGGAGCCCATCTAATTTTTGGACAGTACGACCTACATGGTTACAAATCTTGCAAAATATCATGCAAGGGGTCAAAACCTTCTAAAAAAAATCCTTAAAGGGGTCAAAACATCTCAATTAGAAAGAGAGGGGGCTAATTTTGTAGTTTTGTCTCAGTAAGGTGCCTCCTAAGAATATTTAAAAAATATCCAAGCTGGCATTGTTCAAGGTTTGGAACCCTTGACAACTTCCTTGTTTTAGGTATGTCAAATTATTAAAATGTCTTGTTTATTTAGGGTTCCCAACTTTATACAGAGATAATCTGAGTTTTTTAAAAAAATATTTTTTAGGAGGTCCTTTAGTGAGATGAAAGCTAAAACATGAACTCTTTAAATATTAATTAGGATGATTTTGAAAGGGGCATTGAAAATTTAAATAGGTAAAGAGATTTCCTACTCTTGCGAGAGTATATTATTCATTTACTCCCTCTAGCAAAACTTATTCTAGGAATACCTTAGAGATCTTAAATTGTGGATCTCTAGAGCCCTGGAAATCAACCTCAAAGAAATAATAATAATAATAATAATAACTCATTTTCTATGTTCCTAATGAAAATGGCATCCCAAGATTGACGGGAACCATCAAATTTTGAAGGGAATAATTGCGATGTTCAATAACTCAAAATTCATTTTCTTTCTTTGAAAGTAATCTTCTAATTATAATTAGATGGATCCTAAAATTTCAAATAAAACAAATCTCCCAAGTAAGTGTTTTGACCGAGGGAGTAAATGTATAGTCTTCTCCTTTTCTTTTTTAAAAATACTCAAGTTGGTGATTTTTAGAAAAAACACTATTGTACATAAAGTAGGTCCTTACTTGAAGAAGTAAGAGTACATTGTATATTTAAGAGCACACTATAGGCACATTTCTGTTCTATCTTAGGGAATTTATATTATGAGATTATTTATCTTTATTACAAGGAAGTTAAAAACAGTATTAGTCTGTAAATTGGATCTTTTGGGGTGCATCACGAAGTTCAACAAAAAAAAAATTTAAACTTTACGTCTAGTCAAAGACATGCTTACAACCACATTATTTGAAATCTAATTGATAAGATTGATTGTAACTCCACTGCATGAAAAAGTAAACAATCTCTTTGTGTCTTTTTCCAAATAAAGAAGTTTTTGTGAATAAACCAATGCACCTATTCCTATATATTCTAGAATTTGCAAGTGGATGATCCGCACTACCACAATTATAAGTGTGAAAAGAAATGATCATTAAAGGATTGTCTACAAACGATCATTTATCTTTAGGTGAGGTTTGCATAAGGTGTCCTCCTTATACTACAAGTAAGATGCAGCTCTACATTTTATCGAAGATACAGTTTTGGTGATCGAAACCTTTTAATGACTTGAAAATTAATGATAAACTCTAATTATGAAATTCAAAATTTGAAAAAGGTACAAAACGAGTAGATCTATAAACTCTTGGAAATCTTAAAAATAGCTGATCCAGATCATTTGTTACAAGATGCACTATTTTTAAGACTAGAATTTTTCTTCTTATTTATATCTATATATCTAGAGGTCAAGATGATCAATTGGATAGTTTTTCGAACTTCCTAACACCTTTTTCTATTGGATTTTTGAGGTGCACTTTACTCCTATAGTATAAGGTTGCAACTTTATATAAATGTTTTCCTTTATCTTTTGTACAAAGAGATCACAACTGTTCTCACTCATTAGATGTTCAATTGGATGGTTTAGGGTGAGTCACAAAGTTTGAGAAATTTTTTTTAGAACTTTGTATTTATTCAATAACACTCTTATACCACCCATTATAAAATTCAAGGGATAAGAGTGATTGTGGCCTCCTTGTACAAAAATAAATGGCCTCTGTGTAGCAATCCCAACCTTAAATGTATTTTGTCTTCAACTTTTTCAATGCACATTTAACAATGGTGAGGTTTGTATAAGATTGTCTCCTTATATTGTAGAAGTAAGGGGCACTGCTAAAATTTTCTTAAAGATAGTTATAAAATTTAAAATTTTAAAAATAGCCTAGATCGAACTAATAAATAAATACTTAAAATTTTAAAAAAGATGGTTTGGATATTATTACAAGATACACTATTTTTTACACTTGAAATTCTTTTTTTTTATTCATGTCATACACCTTGAGATTGAGAATATCATTTGAAGGGTTCTTCAAAGCTGAAATGCGATCTTCTGTAGGATTTTTTGGTGAACCATACTTCAATAGTACAAGATTGCATTCTTATATAGGCTTTTTCCTTTTTTTCACATATTATCATATATGCACAATTCATATGTTTCATGTTGTTCGTGATACACAATCAACTTTTCCTTCTTCAAAAAGTAAAGGGGAAAGTTTATATAGGGTTGCAGTTTTATAATGTGGAAATAAGGTGCACTTAAAAAATCCAATAGAAAAGAATATCCAGAAGTTGGGAAAGCTTTCTAATTGATTATCTCGACCTTGAGATATATAGATATAAAGAAAAAAAGAATTTGAGGTCTAAAAATAGTGTATTTTATAACAAATTATCCAGACTATCTATTTTAATATTTTCAAGTGTTTATAGCTCTGTACAATCTACTCATTGGAACTTTAAATGTCATAATTAGAGTTAAACATAGATTTTCAAGTCATCCATAAGATTTTTGACTCCAAAACCTAATCTTTCAACAAAATTAAATAAATAAGGAATCACCACCTACCCCATGTTCACCACAACCACTGCTTCCATAATTTATAGGTGTACTATAAGGTGTGCACCTTATATAAACCTCACCCAAAAATAAAACCTCACACGAACCCAAATTTTTTGTAAGACTAATGATACGTTTTGATTTGGATTATTTAGCTAATTCAATGAAATAAGGATTTAGATCATATATATGAATTTTAGGTTTCTAATTTAATAATTCTCCATTATTTTTTTAATGCAGGTTATCACATTTCTTCATTCCAATAGTTTTTAATACCACATGACACTTCTTTATTAACATTAAAATTTCCGGTTAAACTTGAAAATGAAACGGATAAGAGAGAGGGGTACGAGAGGATAAGATAGAGGGACATGAGCGAGTAAAACTACTCCGTTCACGTACATTTCCCTTGAAACAAAAGATAAGAAAGACCAAATGTACTCTAATTGGATACCTCTTACTACAGGCAACCTCTTACAGATTAAATACAGTGAATTTCTTTAGGATAAGAACTAACCTCTATTTTAAAATTTTCCTTGCAATTTGTTGAGTTTGTAATTGATGAAAATGCGCATACTTGGATTTTGAAGATCAAAAGTTTATCAAAGGCTGTGTTCAAACTAAATCCACAAATACGACTAAGAAGGAAATAATCACATCTTGAATATCTAAAGTTTAGCCAAAAGCACCCAATTTTTTCTTTGTTTTGTCAGCCAAAAACGTGGGATTTTCGCGGCCCAAAAGGTTTCCTGTACGTAGAGAAACTTACAGATTTTGAAAATCTTATGTTTTTCTGTTGATGACATAAATAACTTCAGGGCTAAAGTTTGATGGCTCTCTTTGTCAAATAAAAACTTGTGATTTTTTTAAGAGTAATGATCCTATGAGACTCTCCCACACTCATGTGAGTAAGACCCCAAATGATCACCATCCAATTTGGCACAGATCTCTAAAAAAGTCAAGTCTCACATCTATGTAATAACTTTTTAGAGATATGTGCCAAATTTAATGGTGATCTTTTGGGGTCCTACTCACATGGGTGTGGGAGCGTCTCGTAGTGTCATTTCTCCTTTTTTTTTTAATCTGATACTTTTTCTTTTTTTTTAGCATTATTGAGCATACTGGGGATGAAAAAATTATAAAAAGAAGTTAGGTTAAAAAACTTAAGATTCGCAAAATCTAAAGGCCATTATTGGAAAAATAAAAATAACAATTTTGCATACGATTATGAAGGTAATAATTTTTTTTTTGACAAATATTCCTTACTTTATTTATAAAATCTACTCAAAAAAATTTAC